GTAAAATCCGCCGGCATCGATGTCTGGTGTTCGCTCCGCGACAGGGGTGGAGAAGCAGTGCGGGCGCCGCGCCTCTCGCCGAGAAAACCTCGACGCGAGTTCCCCACCCCCCTCTTCCCGGCCAACGCAAACTAGTTCGATAGGACGCTGGCCCCGGGCGCGGCCGAACTGGCCCAGGCGAGACTTTCACCGTGCGCCACGCCCATACGCTTCCGCAGTGCGTCGCATGAGGCACCGGTCCTCCCGCGGAGGGCTCAGAGGCCGCGGGCGCCCGTATTCCCCGCCCTTCCTCTGCCCGGCGCCCCCTGCCACTGGGGCGCGGGTCTGGAAGGTTCCCTGGATGCCCGAAACGCCGACTGCCGAATGAGTGGCCCGAGAGCAGAGCAACCGCTTGGGCACCGCCCGCCGCCCCCACACCACGCGCAGCCCACCCAGCACGCGATGCACCCGCAGGCGGTGGGGCATTTAATACGCTCTGGCTCCCAAGCAACACCGAAAGTAGCGAATGCTCTGCTGTGGCTCCGCGGGCGGAGGGCGGGGCAAAGAACGGCCAGAATGCTCCTTATGACTGCGCACGCGCAGCGAGCCGAGTGGGAGAACATGCGCAAGGCGCCATCGCGCTGGACCATGTATTCTTGAGCCGGTGATCGCCCGGCAATATATACGTTATAGCGGGCTGGCGCAGCAGTGTCCGTCCGCTCGGACTGCCGGGGGGACAGCCTGTTGAGGGGGCGGGGCTCCTCTACGATGGCGGCGGCGGGCGCCATCGACCTCGCTAGGACACGGCGCAGCCAACAGGAGCAACGCAATGTGCCTTTGCGACGTTGCACCAGTTTCGTTTCTCCTGCGCGCGACTGCTGAACCGTTTTTGGAGTCTCTTGGCCCACCGACGAGGCGCTAACGCTGGGCCGGATCGTGGGGGAGTCTTTTGCCTCCTCGCCCGGCGTTCCGCAGCGCCAGGCGGAGGCGATAGCACCCACGATACGCGCTGGCATGTCTCAAGATGCTCCCGGCGCTTCTTTCGCAAACTCTTCAGCCAACCTCGCTGTGGGGGACGCCAGTATGTCTAAAAAAAATGAAATTAACAGGCAGGCGCGCACATCAACGAATCAGGCTGATGGTGGAGCTCCCCGTGCAGCAAAGCACGCTATCCGTCGCTCTGTTTGGGCCCCGTTTGCAATGCACTGAGGGGTGGTAGCGGGTCCGTAAACACAGCCGCCCCCCACCCCACCTCACGGGTGCCTGTCTGTCCCCAAACGAAAGGACGGCACAGTCAGACTTCGCTACACGCTCAACGGAGCCATCGGATCATAGGGTATAGTGCGCATTGGATTTGGACGCCGCCCGCAGCATGCGGGCCCTGTGCTTACGGACCGGCGGCGGTGTCTTCGCCAAGCTTGCGTGCCTTAAGTTAAGGGACGCAGCAGCATGGACAACGTCAAGCCACTGATGCTCGTGCGCCCATCCGCCGCCAGAAGGAGGGCCAAGCGTATGGGGCGGGTGAGCGGGAAAAGCACCCGAGCGTGGCGCCCCAACTCCCCTCCATTGGCGCGTGTCCGCAGATAGCATCGGGTGCCGCGCATCGGCAAAACGCCCTCAAGCAAGAAAAGGCAAGCCTCCTCTCTAACGCCCCCCCTCCCCCCCCAAAAAAAAAAAGATTCCAACTGAAGTGCCTGCAATGGCGCTGGCGGAGAAAATTTGGAACCCTTCTAGCCACGTCAAATTCGACGGCGAAGCTGCCTCGCACAGGGGCTTGAACTCAACGAAGGCCCTTTGCAGGAAGCAAAGCGTCTCACATTTACGCTTCCACCTTGTCGTAGGCATCGCTTGCGTCTTCCCCAGCCGTGCCGTTGCAGCGGTGATAGTTTCCACGCCTGGAAGCCACCCCCACGCAATGGGTGGATAAAAACTCCCAAAAGTAGCGGTGGGCGGCCCTCCGCTAAGGCGACACCGCCCACGCGCAGCATGGGGCGAGCCGTGCCGTTGGGTGCCGAGTAGCGTGGGCTTCGCCTTCGCCGCACTTGGTTGCACGTCGTCTTTGTTTTATTTGCCCAATCCAAAATGCAGCCCAAGGCTTGCTACGGCCTGGTCTCGATGGGGCCTTTGCCTCGGGCTAGCGCGCCGAATGCGAGGCCGCCGGCGAAGAAGGGGTGCGCGAGGATGGGGGCGCCCACCAGCTTTTTACTGGGGCTGTTAGCGGCAAAGGTGCAAAGCCGTGGGCTAAAAGCTGGCTACCGTGGGGCACCGCAGGTGAGCCGAGAAAGGGGCGGAGAAGGTCTCGTGTATACGGGCCCTCGGCGGGCGGCGGGAAAGGAGGCCCGCCACCCAACAGATCAGGTGCAAATCCGCCTTGCGCTGTTTGATTGCGGCGAATACAAAACTGCAACCATCTGAATAGGAGG